TTGCCCAAATGCCAAACCCCTTGCCATATAAGCATGATATAGCAGTATTTTGCCACGCAAGCGAGTCCCCAAATTGCAGTTAAGTTGGCAATAAGAATAAAGGCTAAATTGCAGCGATCACAGAGTCTATGGACTTATATACATTAATTAAAGTTTGGGGGTTCAATAGTGATTTTGGGGTTTGTTCAAGGGCTTAACTTATGGTTTTGCCAAGAAAAAAAATATACATAAGGCTTGAGTTTTTTATGGGATGCACAAGGCATGATCCGCCCCGTTATCAATGAATTAGCCTATTAGGAACTCATGACCCTTGCCTTACACTGAGCAAGTATTTTTTCTGCCACACAAAATTTAGCACTATTTTTTTTTAATCAAAATATTTTTTAGTTAACTTATGCTTATTTTAAAATTAATTTTTTGTTCAAACAATTAAAAGTAAACCTTATATGGGTTTGATATATTCAAAAAATATATTTTTTTTGGGAGTAATGAAATTTATTTGCTTGTCAATAAATACAATCAATATGTAAATTTTGTATTAAACTTTAATTAACATGGTTTGTGAGGACAAATTGACTATTTTCCTTTCCTCTTTTCTTTTTTTTTTTTTAAATAAAGGCAGAATCCTGATGATGATATTGAGTGGAAACAACTCCAAAATAATTTAGATGACATATGATCCGATTTAGGATAGAACAATAATTGCAATTGTTCTTGATTTTTAGATTAATATTCTAATTGAATTCAATTTGATATATGCAACTTGTCAAACTCTAATGTATCTAGAGTAGAAAACGCTAGCAAAACCTTGAACTACGCACACTCTAAGAGGTTGACAATATATGATACCTTGGGCAAGAATTCAAAGCTAGATAGATTAGCATGAACTCCGAACATATAAAATGATATTTGGAGTTATATCTTTTAAGTGTTAGGTACGCGAATAAACAAGTTTGGCAAAAAGGGCAAATCAGCCCCTATACTCAGGGAATGATGGCACATCAGCCCTTCAACTAAAAACAGAAGCAAATCAGCTCTTGGGCTCATCATATGGTAGAAAAATTGCATAGGCTTGATTTATAAAGGGTTTGCCTGTTTTTCTTTACTCTCTAATTTTCAGAATT